TATCATCCTACAACTTTACCTGAACATTCACCAAAAAACACAAAAAAAAATCTTACACGAATAAACGATTGTCATAATACTTTTAAAAAATAGCTATCATCCTACAACTTTACCTGAACATTCATCAAAAAAAACAAAAAAAACTCTTATACGAATAAACGATTGTCCTAATACTTTTAAAAAAAAGCTATCATCTTACAACTTTACCTGAACATTCACCAAAAAAAAAATAAAAAAAAACAAAAAAATAAAAAAAAAAAAGAAAAAAAAACAAATAGACAACATTGCTAGCAAAAAAAAATAAATTATACAACTATTTTAGCAAGACAAAAAATAAAAAAAAAAAAATTATTATATTATTAAATTTTTATTTTGTTTTAAATTTATAAAAGTTTTATTTTATAAAAATTAAAAATTGTATTAAAAATAAAAAAAAAAAAATATATTTTTTACTTTTAACAATATATACTTCCTTTAATTTATATGGAATCCATCAATGATTTATCGCTAAAGACAAATATATATAGTTAATGTAAATTTATATATTTCTATTTACATTATAAAAAACATCGATAATCTTACAATTGTAACCTTTTTTTATGTTTTTTTTGTTTTTTTTACTCATATTTTTTACAAATTAAATACTTTTTGTAAAAAAAAAATAAATAAAAAAAAAAAAAAAAAAAAAAAAAAAATCAATCAAACGTTTAAAATGAAAAAATTGTATATTTCATTGTTATGCCTTATATTTTATTTTTGCTGTTCGGAACTGGCATATACCAGTAGTAGTGGTGTTTTTGTAACAAATAAAACAGGAGATAAGAATCCAAATGGGGTACAAGGACCAGCTATGTTAACAACAAACCGAAATCTACAAGAAGTAAATACTGACGAAACTAATATATCAAAGAAAAATGTAAGTACATTGATGAGAGAAATGAAAAAAAAAAAAAGTACGCTCAATGAAGAATATAATAACTTTAGACAATATATGTCTAAAGTTTTAACTGGAGAAAAGCCTGAGTATAAGGATAGTATGAATAGTATAGCTCGTTTTTTCTTGTCAAAATTTAAAGGCGAATATTCACAAGGAAATAAAGGTTATTCTATACTTTTTCTTAATTATACTAAAAATGAAAAAACAAATAATGAAGCTAATATTGGCGCACAAATTTTTAACTGTCCATTTAAGAATGATATGACATCATGTGATATGGCATATATATCAGAATTTCGAGATATTTATATATTCAAAAACCATAAAGATAAAATTGAAAACAGCATATTTATGCTATCAGATATATACACTAAAAATATTAATATCAATGACGAAGATTTCAAATCAGGTTACTTCGCATTCTTTATAGATTATTTTTACCACTCTGAATTTAAAAAAATGGAACTCTCGATAATATTCATTATATGTACAAGTAAAACCAATAACAAAAATTGTGAAATGTTGAACCCTTTGCCACTCAAGAAATCATTGTATCCAGATGTGTGTCATTATGTTAAAAGAATGAACATCCCCATACAAAAAGCTAATTCTTTAAATGAATGTACTGTTGATGAAGGTTCTTATAAATTACCATTTTCAGATGATGAGCCAAATCAACTTTACAAGTTAAAACTTTTTAAATATAATTATTACTATGTTGCAGAAATTCCGGTATCATTTTTTTTAGAAAATTTCTGTAGTGCAATAAAAATAAATGACAGTGAATGTAAAAATATGTATTCGCATATAAACGAGAAGGTGAAAGGAAATCCTAAAGAAACTATAGATTTACTAAAAACATGTATGGGATCTTATTATAAGGAAGCAGGACAACCAGCTAATACTGATTCTACAAAATTAAAAAAAAAAATAATAAATATCCCAACACGTAAAGATAAAATTCATAATAAATTCTTAAAACAACTTCTAAAATATGTAAATGATCGTGACATCAACCGTTGTAAAAATACTTACCAAATATTAGCTACCTTTAATTCACTTAGATATTCCGAATTAGCATCTAAATTTAACCAAATTACCAAAAAGTAAGCTGATATTTCTACAGGTCATACCAATTTATTTACCCAGCCCACATAAAATTGCCACTAAATCAGAACCCAGCCTTAAAAGAAATACCACTATATCAAAATTCACTATTGTAAATAATAACGATAAACCAGAACCCCTTCCTGAAAAAAAAAAAAGGACTCTAAATCAGCACCCAGCCTTGAAGCAAATGACTCTAAGTCAGCACTCAACTCTTAAGGTAATACCATTATATCAGCACCTAGCCCTCAGGCAAATGACACTGAATTAGAATCCAGTGCTACATTTTTTAATTTAATTTATAGTGTATTTTTATTAATACTTATAATTTATATGTTTTAATAATTATATTTAAGTTATAATTTTTAAAATACGATAATTGTTTGTTTCACTTGTGCATACATATATACATTTTTATTTTGCTTAAAAAATAAATGATAATACAAAATGTATTAAATTCATAACAAAATTTAATATCACTATTTATCATTTTTATTTATTCTAATTTTTTTTTTTTTTTTTTTTTTTTTTTTTTTTTTTTTTTTTTTTTTTTTTACACATAAATATCACAACTACAACTAAAATCAATATTATAAATATTAACAATTTTCGATTAAATCTGCATTATTATAAATAAATTAATATAAAATGTTGTTTTTTTTAAACAAAAAATAACAACTCCAAAAATATATGCTTATATAATATATACGCTTGCGTTAAAGTTGTGAAATGAAAATGTGACAGTTTGTGTTTCTCCATAATTTGACTATTAAAAAAACACACATAAAAGAGACCAAAAATAGAACAGCGGTAGCTGATATTAACTCCTATACTAATCTAGTAATAAAAACGAATATGATAATGTTACGCACAGGCATAACAATAGTCATTTCATTTGAATTGACCAAATTGTAAATCGTACGACGCAGTACAATATTAAATTTATTTTTGTGTTCGGTAGCGAAAAATGGCTATAATTAACAAAAAAAAAAAAAACCTACAAATTATTAATAACATAAAACAGCTTAGAAAAGATCAAACACTTTTTAAAAAATTGCCATAAAGCTTTAACCCTTTCGAAACAATTGATAAACTGAATTATACATTTTTGCAAAAACAAAAAAATATATTTGTTATATTACGATATCTTTTACTAAAAACAACAGTAGTTTATGACCTATCAACACATATCAAAAAAACGATACAACAATAAAACAAGTAACAGAGAAATATCTTTTTAAAACCGTAGCACAAAAAAAAAAAAAAAAAATACAACACATTTTTAAAAATTATAAATACAGTTTTTAGTTTATTAAAAATTGGTAATGATTCTGTCAATACCAAAACAATTGATTCCTAAACAGAACCGCATGAGCTATCAAAACGACTTGCATAACATAATAATTTTTTTTTTTTTT